AATACATACTTACAGACAGACAGCCTAATTGAGTGATTGAAAGTCAGTGGTGGAGGAAAGGAAAAACTTGCATGCAGTGATTCATGAAATACAGAGACAGGCCAACACAATAGCCACCAGCTGTGATATTCACTTCAACAGTGGCTTCTTCATTAAAAAGGTAATGTATATCAAGACTGGTTTTTTTTTTGTTTGTTTTAATGTGATAACAAAGAACAGTTTGCTTTCAGGGCGCAGGGCGTGTCAGAGAGAGTCTGGCCAGGATGGATCAGCTGGACTTCACACCAGTGGTTGGATCACACTGAATGGTGGATCCCTCCACTCATGAGCTTTGTGCAGAGAAACAGTCCCAATTCCTGCATTTTGCAGATATCAGGACATTTTGGCAGTTCTGCTTTTGTAGTAGTTTTATTGCTATGTACATTAGCAAACTACAAGTATATAATAAGCACTGTCTGTAGAAACATTAAACCCACCTCCTAAAATAATGTCATATATCCATGTGTTACCTCTTATGGTTATGTTTTTGCGTATCCACCAGGTGGTGCCACTGGGCCTTTTCCTGAAATTGACGGTTTATTAAAGCAAAGTCCAAGGCCAGTTAGCAGCGTGAACCTTCAGTTCAACCTCTTGTATAATTCAAGTGGAACATACATATTATCGAGTTAAACATAATTTGAATTTTAAAAAACTAGGAAAAACAAGTCTGGGAAATAATTATGGGAAAACGTCAAATAAATAATATGTATAAATTGTGTACATTAATAAACCCTTTCACTAATAAATAATGACTTGTACAACAATTCATGTGCACAAATCATCACAGTGATTACAGAGATAAATAACTTTCTAATAGGAAGGTTAATGTTTTATCCAGTATGTATGAATGATAATAAAATATTGCTAAACATACAGATAGCTTATGTGTGAAGTTGTACCTCCTGTTAACAGATGTGTGTAAAATCTGTATTCTTTACTGTTAGATGTTTTTGCAGTAGCTAAAGTAGAAATGATCCATAATTAGTTCATGTTTCTGAAATCAATCAAATCTCAAAATGAAGCCTGAGCACCATGCTGTTGTAGTTTCTGAACTCATTTGGTGAGGTCTTACCAGCTGATCCTGGGAGTTTATCACATATTAAAAACTGCAGAAAGAGAAGAGGTAGAGAGACACTGCGAACGACTGCAGAAACTACTGCAGCACTGCTCCCTTTCACATGACACTCCTCATGTATATTTTTGAGTGACAGTGTGATTTGTGGACCAGGCAAACTATGGGTGTAGTCTGTGAAAGTTTGTGCACAGTATAATACTTTATTTCTTGTATTAAACTAAAAATGGCAGAAATCAGGTGAGCCTCGTCTGTGCTGGACTGTGTAACATGAAATGATTTTAAAGCGTTGCATACAGTTTCAACATTAACTACTGTAAAAGGTACATAACTAAAGAATACAAATTTTACATATTACAAATAACATTATTACTTCATATATAAGTTATCTAAATGTTTATTCATATATTTTTACATCATCTTTACATACTGGACAAAACAAAGCTTGTCACAGAAAGTTATACACCTCTAATTCACTGCAATGGTTTGTATATGTGCACTGATGTTGCACAGCTTATTTACTAGTGAAAAGGTTTGTTATTAATGTACATGATTTATATGAAGAGACTCACGAACTGCCATTTTATCAATATTTGAACATTTTCAAATTCTAATTAACTAATGATTTGTTCATAGTGTTAGAAATTTGGCAGGAAGAGTCAGAAAAGCAAAGAAGGGAGGGGAATTAGGTGACAATCAAAAGGTTGGGGAAGAAGGGGAAAGGGGTCTGAGGTTAGGGGAGACCTCAGGGGAGAAGTGAAGTTGTTCTCACCTCAGGGAGAACAATAGAAATACCAAAAAAGACACAAAACTCTCTGCACTGTGTCCCTCAGAGGGGGCTGGTATGGTTCCACACAGTGTGTTAATCTTCACCTACAGGAATGGTTCCAATGGCCTAAAAATAATCGTTCTTTCCTGAGGCTCAGTGCTTCACCCACCCCCTCTCAAGCTGCCCCTAAATTCAATTCTGGGGTGCAGACACAACCTTGTAATGAAAACATGTATCTGTGTTTTCTTTTCTTCATATTTAATGCCTGCATCAGTTATCAGCAGAACCTCAATATGAAGCTTCTCATCTAGATTCTAAAGACTGCTTGCCATGTTTCCTCACTCTGATCCATTGGCCTGAAATTATTATATTAATACCTTCAGCACTGACTTAGTAGCACTGCTTGGAACAACTGCTTTTACTTGCACCTCATTTTTAGAATTTCCACCAAACATTTGAAAACTAATAAGTGTGAAAAACGAATTAACATTTTGTGCCCCTGTGTGACCCAAAGAATGTGTTTGTGTCACAAGGTAAAGAACGTAATGCTTCAAATGCAAGCAGATTTCCCCCTTTGGTCACCATCTAGAGCAACTTTTGCATCTGAATTTAGCCATGTCCAGTACCCAGTCTAGACTGTAGCTAAGTTACCAGCAAAGCGTATACTGGTTTTTAAAATTGTAACATAAGGATTGATTCAAGGCATACTGTAGTTACCTAAAATCCAAGGCCCAAAATTTGCATTAATATCAGAGCTTCTATCAGGCAAAGTTCCTCTAGAACAGGAGCAGATAAAACTGTTGATATACTTATGACTCTTTCTGTGGCCTTCATTACCATGGTCCTGATTATCAAAGGTAACTGCTCTTGTGAAATTCCCTGAAAAAGATTTTCTGCTGGGCTCCCCTGTGAAATTCCTTCAAAGGGATTTCTTGCTCCACATTACCATCGCACATGTTTTTTGTGTATTTCTACATGCTTTTTACAACAGTGTCTGGCTCATGACCAAATTCATGACAGTATTCACATTCAGATAACTTCTTGTTAGAAGTACAGTTCTGCCTGGAGCCTGGGTTAGAGCTATTCTCTGTGAGTACATGTATAGATTCGGGGACACTGAAGAACTCTAAATCACAGCCTAGGCGGTCAAGGCCATCTTTAAGGTTCCCCCATTTAGTTTTATGCCAGTTTGGAAGAGCAGTCACCAGGGCTTGTCTAAGGTCTGTTAGTAGTGAGTCAACCAAAATATGGACCATCAACTGTGTAGTCAATGTGTTATCACTATTGCATTTATCAATACCAGGGTGATGCAGAAAGATGCTCACAGAAATCTGCAGCTGAGTCTCCCTTTTTCTGCCTGCATTTGGTTATTTGCCCCCACTCAGTAGTTTTGCAACATTTACAGCTGATCCAGTCATTGAAAGCTTTCCAACCCCTTTCAATATCAATGTCCCGGCCTTTGTCACCCAAAGCATCCAATACCTTATTAGCAAACTGTCTTCTATCTGTTATGTTAAGTACTTGGCTTGCTATGGCAACAGCATCATTGGAGTGCAGTAAGTAAAGGGTCCTTTTCTTTGCATGACATCAATGAAGTCGAGCCCTATTTCCCTAGGAGGGTTAAATTCTTTGGACAGCTTGTCCAAGCTACCTGCATCTAAAGGAACATCCTCGTCCTCATCAGAGGATGAGGATTCTGATCCATCAGAGTGGATTGCATGCAATTCTGGATAAAGCCTCGCCAACAGAGCAGGATCTTCATCCTCTATGTAGCATGGCTGACCCAGAGGAGGGCCTACAGGCGGAGGTCGGCACTGACGCTTTGACTTAAATTTACAACTGGCATGTTGCTGTTCAAGCTCAGTCAGTGATTGCTTAAGTTTTTTTTACATGTTCTCTGGGCATTCATGGCAGCTGTTTTATGCTTTTTACATTTGCTGGTTACCTCTAGGATATTTCCCTCAGCTCCCTCTAGCTTACCTTCCATGTATCTAAGCTTATACTTCCAGCACTGCTATATTACAAAAAGACATTCTTTAACTGAGTCATGCTTGATTCCATAACCCAAAGCTGTTTTACATTCCTCAAGAGTCCATTCTCTATCAACAAAAAACCTCTGGATAAAAAGCACTGAGTTGTCTTTTGCTCATGAATGTGTTTCCCTATTATATCATCCATTACCTTTTCAAATGCAAATTCAGTCCATTCAGGCATTTCTACTACTGTACTCCTTCTGAAGTTAAGAGGTTTTCAAAAGTATTTCTCGAGATTCTGTGGTTTTTGGCCTGGACTAGTCATGGTGAGGTAAGAAGAGAACAAGCAATGGCAAAAACACAACCAATCTTCCCTCACTGCTTGAGGGGACAATTCATATAAACTACTGGCCTTCATGCTACAGGGCTTCCCTCACAACCTGAGAGGATAAGTTACAAAAACACTGGTCTTCCCAAATACCAGTCGAGTTTTATTCACATGCATGCAGAGAATCATGCATGGGCACAGCTTGGTCATCAGTCTGTCGCCAGTCTGTCACCAGTCTAAGGACAATATATGTCACATATGTCAGAGTATAGAAGTAAGCACACATAAAAGGACCTAATCTTTTTGTAGGTAGTTGACATTCCAGAGCCAAAGCCAAGCAGCAGACAAAATGGCTAAACAAATCTGCTAGCTTGAGTCACCACATACAATACTATGAAAAAGTCAGAGATCACACTTTATGTATTTAATTTCCAGTCAAAATAGCCATTAAGCACAAGCTGTTAATTTTTTCAAGAGATATTTCTGAGGAGATTAGATAAAGTAATCCACAGCTGTCAAAGGAAGTTGCTGGTGTGTCGCAAGCACTTATAAAAAAGTTTGGATTGTGATTACAGGCCAGAGACCTGTTGTTCAAGAGCTTGTGCAGTCTTATTTTCCTGTAATCCACTGCATGATAAGTTGATCATGAAGTGACACAAATGAACTTTCACCTACTGAAAGGTTCATTTACTGGCAGTGGATTAACCATGAATCTGCACCATGTGGAGATAGTTTTACTTTAAATTATTATTAGCTCTCTCTCTCTCTCTCTCTCTCGGCTCTTTTTTTTTTTAACATAGCTCCACCCCTGGTGTGACCACTTCTTCACAGCTGTTCTTAAGGGAGCATGAAGTGGCTGTTTTGTAACCTGGACAGTCTGTTCCTTTCTACTCACTTTGTGCAGAACTCATACGATTTTTTACTTTTTTGCAAAGCCTGCTTCTTTAGCAATGGCTTTGGTGACAGAGCTTCTGCTGCAGCCTGTCAGTGCAAGCATATTGCTTGGTGTTGTATTAATGTTGCTGCTGGTTGTTTATCTGTTTTCGGCTGACTCTCAACAAGCGTGGAAGGAACCTCCAGGTCCCAAGCCGCTGCCTATCCTGGGAAACCTACTAGAGCTTGACCTCAAGAGACCCTACCTCAGTCTCCTTTCAGTGAGTGTCTTGATTTCTTTGCTCACTTTGGATGAGTGGACTAAATAAGTATCATTTAATGCACAACAATCTATTCTTCATATAGTTTATCAGAATACTTCAGATCGTTAACTGAACCCAAGGAGGCATGAGTCTGTGAAAATGACAAATGAAACTAACTGTATCAGTGGAATCACAGCTTATTACATATATACTCTTGTTAACATACTAAAATGTCACTGGTTCTTTGCATCACTCTAATGGTATTGATCTGGAATTGTCCTGATCTAAAACTGTATGTCCTCCTCATGTTTTATCTCTAGTAATGTATATGGCTTTATATACAGTGAGGTCCAAAAGTCTGAGATCACTGGTGTAAATTCTTCTATTTTGCATTCCTTTCTAATTTAATACAATGTTCAACTACAGATGATATTATCAGCATAACAGTGAGTGCATTGACATGCACTTAATAATCTGATAACTGCAGAAAATCAGATTTTGTCAATAATCCGAAATGTGTTTATATGCACTGTTACAACCCCACAGGAAAGTCTAGGGGATAATGGGGTCAGTAACATGGTTTAGATGTGATGTTTGCAGCACGAACCAGGAAGGAACACGACACAAATAGGATAGCTTCTTTTTCTCATTTATTATACGCTAGGGATAAAAGATAAAGTACACTCATATTATGACTGAGTGAATTCGAATTTGAATTCAGAACCATTAGCCTACTGTTTGCACACAGAGGAATTAGACTTCCGCATTTAACCCATCCGTGCAGTGAAACACCCACATACATGCAGCCCTATCCACAGCGCCTGGGGAGCAATTGAACATTTTTTTGCTTTGCTCAAGGGCACTTCAGTCACGTACTGTCAAGGGATCGAACCGGCGACCTTCCGGTCACAAGGCTGGTTCCCTAGCCTCCAGCCCACAGCTGCCCCATAATGGTGCTGAACAAATTCTAAAGAGCAAATTTTCGTGGGAGTGAGACCTCCAAAACAATACTATGTACAATATTTACAAAAACGGCAAATATGCTTGCTGTCAAAAAGAACGGGATTCTGGACCCGGACGGCGCTAAAGGAAAGAAATAATCAAAACAAACAAACAAATAAAAAAACTACCCTAGCTCTTTAATGGAAATCCTCACCTAGTAGCAAAACCAAAAAAACTATCCACACTAGTCTTCCCTATGGCATAACATAAATACATGGGTTGGCGCCCGCCCCTTACCTATGGTGTCTATACAATGGGCAACTACGTGATGTAAAAATGTATAAGCGCGCCCATCTAACCTGTCCAGAACCCCAAGAAAGCACAGCAGCGTATGAGAGAAAGGTAGAAAGAGAGCACAGACAGCCGTATAACAGCAAGGTTAGCGTGATTAACAGTGCGAGGCACGAAACCATAAGCTAACATGAACTGGACAAAACTCCAAGACACAGACAATACTATCGCAGACACACACAAAACTGCACGAGCAGAAAGAACACAAGCCTTTGTGTCTGCGACAGCAACTACAACTAGGACCACACAAAAACAGATTAGAGCACAGGGGTAACACCAGCCTCTCCACGAGCTGTGCCGGGCTGCTTTTAAAGTTCAAGTGCCTCCTCCAGGGCCGGAACTCTGCATGATGATTGGTCGCCAAGTGGTTCCCGTCAAGTCTCTAATGACGACTGACACCGCAGCCAACCTGTAGCAGAGATAGGAAGCAAACGAGGGAGGAGACATATGGAATAGAGAGGGAAAGCGAGCGAGCGAGAGAGAGAGAGAGAGAGAGAAAACACCAGCCAGACAGAAGAGATACATAAAGCGAGCTCAATTTTAGCTCAGTAATCAGATTTCTCAGTGCATGTACCAGAAATAAGCAAGCAGCGCTGCCTGACTCATGTAGACCCAGAGTTTCCCCATTATCTGATTACTGAGCTAAAATTGAGCTCGCTTTATGTATCTCTTCTGTTTACATATACACTTTTACATGACCAGTTGAATAATCAGATAACTGCAGAAATCCTATTATGATTGGAATATTGAGTGCATGCAGACATACTCAGTGTGAGTGAAAAGTAGAATCTTTGTACACCAATTTCAAAATTTCCTTGTATTTGATTTGTCCTTCTTTTGCTTTAATGACAGTGTGTGCTCAAGCTGGCATGGACTCTATAAATATGTGCAAAACCTCTGATGAGTTGACCAAATCCATGTGAGAGTTGTCTGAACACAAGCTTCAGTGAGAGGAATGTGACAAACAAAAACAAAAACACACAAAAAAACGACCTTGATGTATAGACTCACACACACAATGTGGAGACCAAAAATTCTAAGAGAAATGTGTTTTTTATGCCATGTAGCAGATTTGAACTAGTGCCAAGCAATAAAACATTTTAGATTTTTATTGCAATAAACTTTTTATCAATAACAATAATAAGCTTAGAATATTCCTCTTCAGTATTGATAAAATTCAATATTACAATATTTTCAAAACATCACTTGAGTCTTGAGCCTGAATACTGCTACTCTGTGCTAAAAAATGTCTTGCAAACATGACATAACTTGTTTTGATTGACTTGAACCTCCTGTTTTAGTACACTGAATGTGTGTGGCACTGTGCACCTTTTACTCACTTTACCAAGTGTTCACACACAACAGATGGGCAGTTAGGAAAGTTAGTGTGCCATTTTCATGGTTGACTTCAAGAAGTTATTAAATGATAGAAAAAAATGGTCACACTTTAATTTGATAGTCCCCTGTAGATGATCTAAAGATGCTCAAATTATTAACAAACTGCCTGGTGAAGCTTAATTGATTATGAACACCATTTTGATATGGATTAGGGTCAGATGTAGTCTTAGGCTTTGGGTTGAAGTTAAAGTTAGTGTTAGGTTTAGGCTTAGGGTTCCTAATAGCCCCAGATTCTGGTGGTCCCAGATTCTGTATTTAAAGAGGCAGTTATATCTCCCAGTTTTAAAAGCTTTTGATTCTGATTCATTCTGCCAAATGATGTCCTCGCCTATGCTGAGACAGAAACATTTGTTAGTACAGCTATATGTACTTAAAATAAAAAAACGTGCACCCACTGGCCATTTCAAGTACACCCCTTATATCTACTGTTAGAAATTCAGCAGGAAGAGTCAGGAGACTGGATTTTCATATTCTGAGTTTTATTCATGTGTGTGCAGAAAGTCATGCAAGGGCACAGCTTGGTCATTAGTCTGCCACTAGCCTAACAAGAATATTTTGGAAGGACCTTATATACATTGAAAACTGTGGGGGACGAAGGAGGAGGAAAAAGAGTTTGAGGAGGGGTAAGGAGGGATTGTGGAAGGAGAATATGAAATGAGATGTAGGGGGCGCTGTTATCATCTTAAGGTCATGAGACAGAGTGTCATTTCAATGCAAACAAAGGGCAAGGTGAGAGTGCAACCGGTTTCACCTTTCTGACATTTGCTACAACTCTACAATGAACATGGTTAAGATCTTAAGAAAATAACATAAGGAAAAATGGTGTGTTAGTGTGTGTTGCACTGGATCAGACACATCAGTGCTCCTGGAGCATCTAGAGACAGCTTACAAAATAAAAAGAAAATGAACATAAAATGTTTACTGTTGGGCCAACTTAAGTCACCAGAACAGCTTCAATTCCAGTTGGTATTGATTTTTCTGGAAGATTTTTTGTCTCTGAACTGTATTTTCTTATTAAAATGTCAATAATGGACCATTCAAACATTTTATCAATCATATTATATATAATATGTTTTACTTACTTTCTTTTATAGAGCACAAATGCAGACAGGTGCATGCTTGAAGTAAATAGCTCTGGTCATGTGAACAATACTCACTACAAAACTCCATAGAAATGTTCATATTCAAGACATCCTATAATTTACTCTAAAGTTCACCTTTCAGTAAAAAAAAAATACCTCTTCTTCTTAAACTCAAAACTAAATGGGATAAACGTTTGCTCAGCAACATTACATAAGCAAAATCATATTCTTTTTAATGCAGTTCACTCTGGAGTCGGGGTACATAACATATGGAGTACATAATGCTGATGTGGGCTGTCTGTGGTAGTTTATATCGAACCATATCAGTTATGCAATCTTTTTAATAGCGCTTTACACACAGCCTTTTTATTGCACAGTTGGCAGTAGGAAAAAGTAATTGAGAATGATTTTTTTATTATAAATAACATAATTTGGGCATTTTCATTTTCCATTGTATTTCATTTCACTGATACATCACATTAATAGGTTTACTGTCTTATTTTCTGTTGCTGTTTGCAGATGTCAAAACAACATGGATCCGTATTCACAGTGTATTTTGGCCCAAAGAAAGTGGTTGTTTTGGCCGGATATCAAACTGTCAAGCAAGCCCTGGTGAATCATGCAGAGGAATTCGGAGACAGAGACATCAGTCCCATATTCTATGACTTCAACAAAGGATATGGTAAAAATTCTCTGCTATTCAAAAAACATCTTTCAGAAAATTTATTTTTTTTTGGTTGTTTGTTATTAAATGTATTGGGGATAACAGTAGTACATTAAAGAGTTTTCTTAAATGATTTTAAAGATGAATTTATTATTCTTTCATTATTTATTCATAATTTCAGTTTCTTTATAAAGAATATCATTTGCAATGGTTTAATATGGATCCTCTAGTGTTGATACATTTGTACTTTAAAGACTGTAAAGATTGATGCATTTCTGCAGGTTGTAGGACTTTGAGTTTGTTTTTAGCAACAAAGATTATCTTTTCCACCTTAAGGACTGCATATTTAGAGATATTAAGATATTAAGAAGCATTAACAGACCTGCAAACCTCGGGAAAATATTTTGCATAGGACAGTTATGTAATGCTTAAAAAAAAAACAAGAAAAAAACATGCACAGCTGTTTTCCCACTTGCCGCCACATCATGAAGATTGGTTATTAAACAGGATGTGTTGCTCTCTCTCTCGCCCCCTGTCCCCCAACTGACATTACACATTTGTTATCACCAGGGATTGAACCCAGCGCTATGATTTGTTGAACTCTTCTCTTCATACCAGCATACTTTGTGGTCAGAATGCATACCTGCTACAGAAAATGCCTAAAGACTGGCAGGTCTGCATTAAGGCCCAGACTTAAATAATTATTTAAATAGCTTTTTTACTTAATTTTTCCTTTTTTTGGTGCCACAATAAGTGACATTGCACATAAAATATGCAAAGAAATTTGCAAAAAAAAAAAACAGATTTGGCTAAAAACGGCTAAACATAGAATTGCTCTGTGTGCTGTTGTTGCTGTTGTGGGTGTTGAGTAGCCTTTAACTGTTGGACTAATAAGACAAACTACACCCAGTGAAATGGTCATGCTTATGGCTGGGAAACATGCATTTATTGAACACAAACCAATCCAAAGTACAAAACAAAACACATAGGATAACATACGGCAATAGGGGGAGCTCCTAATGATTGGTCACCGTTACACAAAGAAACCCCTCATGACTGATTTAAAATGATCATCTCATATTCCTCTGCTCTGCAACAAACAAGTCCTGTTACAAACTGCCATGTTAAAGTCTCACTGAGTATACCACCCCTCCAAGTATAGTCAGCCAGGGGCCAGGCAGCTCCCTATACAGAGTACTCTGTTAGAGTTTCAATAATTTTAACAGTTTCAACAATTCCCACACCGGCCCACTATGGACCCCTGGCCCCCCCTCAGTATTGGCTCAAGGACCTTCAGAGGGTGCTTTGCAGCCTGGTGGTTGAGAAACTCTGATCTATATAAAGAAAGGAGAAGGACAACTCCTTGAACTATACTGAATCATGTAAACTTTTTTTCACATCTATATAAATATAATAGGCTTTGTGAAACTAATGCAGGTACATTCCATTTACTAGAGGTAATGGTGGAAGAAATAGCCAACAGGAAAACAATCCTCCTTGGACAATATGATAATTTTGTGGAGATGGCAGAAAGCACGAGACAAGAGTAGTATAAGCAGTGTCTGTTTTTTTTGCCTTTTTGATTTAGATGTTTGCCTTGTCAAGTCTTACAGCCTATAAGGAGTGTGAGGCTATCGTTAGGTTAAGATAACATTTAAGAACATGAATACCACTTGTTCTTAGAATTATTCTTAAGAAAGGAGAACAAAAATAAGAACAAAAAGAACAAAAATAAGAGAATTCTTAAAAAGTTATTTGAAGTATGAAGTTAGGAAAACACACACATTTAAGAAGTTATTTTTTCTCAACTTATTCTTTCTCAAATTCTTTCTCAAGTCAAGATTTTGTGAATCTGGCCCCAGGTTATTAACTACAAGAATTTTGATCAACCACAGGAATTCTGTTTTCCAATGGGGAGAACTGGAAAGAAATGAGGCGCTTTTCTCTCTCCACCCTTCGAGACTTTGGGATGGGCAAAAGACTGAGTGAAGAGAAAATTATTGATGAGACGCGTTACTTGAGAGAAGTATTTGAGCAGTTTAAAGGTAACGTCATGTCACTGAATGTACAGCAGACAGTTCATTTCCAAATATTTTCTTTATATAAAGCTATAAAAATTTCATGATCACTTTTGTCTCTTAGATTGTTTCTTGTATAGAAAATTTGCATCAATGACACAAATATGTGACAAACATATACACATCTATCACAGTGTCTTAATATTTTAAATATTTGTATAATTAAATAATTTATAATACACTTTTTATACTTTGTGTGGCCAAAAGTATGTGGACAGCTTATCATCACACCTATATGAGCTTGTTGGACATCCCGTTCCAAAACCATGGGCATTAATGAGTATTTTAAACTTTATTGTATCATCTTTGGCAGCAATTTACTTTGTCTTTTACCATGGGTGTTGCTGGGCCAGTTTTAGGGGGGCTTTAGTTGTAAACCAATCATACCACAGCTCGTAAGTTGTAAGCCAATCATATCAGACCTGGGGGAGAGTCTCTGGTTTTACTCACTCTGCAAATTTATGTCAGTTGGCAACTGCTGAAGCTGCAGACAGGATTTTGGCTAAAAACTTATACTCATAATCTATAATGTTACAGAGTGAAGATATCCACCTACAATACGGGGAATTATGGTCAGTTTGAAGGCCTTTTTATTTTTGTTTTTTTGTTTGTTAGCTAGCTAACTTTGAGTTTACATAAGACATGGAAAAGGGGTTAAGCTAACTCTAACATTTGCTAGCTATCTGACAAGCCAACTAGTTTAAGAACTTGAAGAAATTTCACTCCATAGTGAAAGTTTGAACGAGCAACAGAGATAGAAACAACGTCATTGACAGCTATTTAAATTCTTTGTAATATGTGCAACAGGGCACAGGCACAGACATTTCAGCACTTAGTTGTGCATTTCAGCACTTAGTGGCCCTGTTCTGTGAGTTTGCGAGCTGTTGTTGCTTCTGGACACTTTTATTTCACAATAATACCACTTACAGTCGACCAAGGCAGATGTAGCAGGGAACAAATTCCATGAACTGACTTGTGACAAAGCTGGCATCCTATGACAGTGTCACATTTAAAGTCACTGACGACTGAGGACTGTGGAGACTGCATGGCTTACATGCTTGATTTTATACATCTGTTAGCAATGCCGTATGGCTGAAACACCTGAACTCAATAATTAGGAGGGGTGTCCACATACTTTTGGCCAACAGCTCTGTAAATCTAGCACCATTATACACATGTCCTTTTAAAACTGCTGTTCATCCTAAAATTAATTAATTGTTAATAGCATGCCTTATACTAACATCTTTATAATTCGTATGCCATTGTTTCTAGCATTTTCCAGAGAATATTTATGGAATGTAAAGTATGCATTTTATGGCATATAAATCTTTAGAACTTAATTTGGAAGTTGCTTACTGCATTACAGGACACCCGTTTGATACCACACACCCAGTGAATTATGCTGTTTCAAATATCATCTCAGCCATTGTGTATGGAAGCAGGTTTGAATACAGTGATCCTCTGTTCAAAGACATGGTTAACCGGGCCAATGAGAACATCAGGCTTTTTGGCTCAGCTTCTGTACAGGTACCCTTCTGCATCTAAACAGTGGGCTCGCAATGTACTAATTTCTAATATGCACTGATTTTCACACCTGTACGGTGATCCTACATAGAGAGAGTTAATGCAGAAATCACTTAAAAAATGAACATTAATATATGTACCTGAATGTACCTCTAGCTCTACAACATGTTTCCCTGGCTTCGTTCCTGCCTAAAGAACTGGAAACTCCTCATGAGAAACCATGAGCAAAATATCAAGGAGGTAAACAAACTTGTGGATGGTTTGCAGAAGACACTGAGCCCTCAGGACTGCAGAGGCCTTGTCGACTGTTTTCTTGCACGCAAACAGAATGCAGAGGTAAATCTTTCTAGTGCTGCATACAAAAATCTCAAAGTGAAGAATGAGAGTTTTATCTTTCTGCTACTGATCATATTTTGTGCCTGTGTAGTACTTCTGTACATCTTTTTTGTGTTTTGGTGAAAAAGATGTAGGTGTGAAGGTGTAGAAATTATGTGGCCAATTTATACAACTTTATTTGACTGTATACTGTAAGTGGTAGGATATGTATGTGTTCATGACTAAATACGGTATTCATGCTTGCAACTTTAAAACTTTAAATGTTCACAAATGAATCATGATCAAATAGACTAAATAAAACACTAAATAATAAAGTGGTTCGACAAATAATTCATGAGCTGCACTTCAATTCTGATAAAGTAATAAATAACTACAGAAAATATGTATATTACATAAGCCTACCCATTTGCAACATTCTGTGCATATACTCTAATAATTTCTCCCTCTTACACCTTGGCTGGTCTATTTGTTTTGCTCAGAAATGTGGAGAGAAGAACACCCCATTCCATGAAAACAATCTTCTTTTCACCATTACCAATCTGTTTGCTGCTGGTACTGACACAACTGGCACAACTCTGCGTTGGGGTCTTCTCCTAATGGCCAAGTACCCTCACGTACAGGGTAAGAATACAAAATGTTGCAACATGCATGGATATCCAAAGTAGATTAAAATCCATTTTAGTGGTATGCAAGGCCTTCCCTGAAAGAGGCATTTTCTGGATAGGAGCATAGGTTGTTCTAAAACCTCTATATACTGTTCAGCATTGTTCAGCCTTTCCAGATGTGTAAGCTGCCCACACCATAGGTACTAATCCAACCCCATACCATTAGAGATGCAGGCTTTTGAACTGTGTGCTGATAACAAGCTGGATGGTCCCTCTCCTCTTCAGTCTGCAGGACATGGCATCTGTGGTTTCCAAAAAGAATTTAAAATTTTGATTCATCTGACCACAGAACAGTTTTCCATTTTGCCTCAGTCCATTGTAAGTGAGCTTTGGCCCAGAGAAGATGGCAGCATTTCTGTATCATGTTGACATACGGCTTCTTCTTTGCATGATACAGCTTTAAGTTGCATTTATGGATTGCACGGCAACTGCGTTCACAGACAATGATTTCTGGAAGTGTTCCTGAGCCCATGCAGTGATTTCCAGTACAGAATCATGCCTGTTTTTAATGCAGTGCCACCTGAGGGCCTGAAGATCACAAGGATCCAATAGTGACTGTCGGCCTTGTCCCTTGCGTAAAGGGATTTCTGCAGATTCTCTGAATCTACTGATGATATTATGTACAGTAGATGCTAGGATTTCCATTTTACATTTTATATTGAGGAACATTTTTTCTGAAATTGTTCCACGCTTTTTAGACACAGTTTTTCGCAGATTGGTGAACCTCTGCCCATCTTGCTTCTGAGAGACTCTGCGTCTCTAAAGTACTCCTTTTTTACCCAGTCATGTGAGTTAGTTGCAAAAATATGTGGACATCCCTCCTAATATTGAGTTCAGCTGTTTCTAACTGTTGTCTAACTAGCTGTTGCTAACAGGTGGATAAAATAAAGCACAACATAGCCTTGCAATCTCAAATCTCAATAGACAAACACTGGCAGTAGAAGATGTCATACTGAAGAGCTCAGTGATTTTAAACATTGCAGTGTCATAGAATGCCACTTTTGCCAGAAGTAACTTTGTGAATGCACCACCTGTTGAATACTGTGATACTGTGAAACTGTGATACTTTTTTGACTAGGATACTGTATTGTGAAAGTCAAACCATGACACTCCTAATCCTAAAATGATGAATGGTGATAAGCCATATTGTTTGCCATAATATCTCTTTGTTGTAGTGCAATTTTTTTTATTTTCGTGTATGAATACTGAAAGTCAAACTTAGTTCTGTTTTCGTATAAAGCTAAGATTAAAACTTCTCTCGATTCCAGACCGGGTCCAGGAAGAGATTGACAGGGTGGCTGGAGGTCGTCAGGTAGTGATGGAGGACAGGAAGAACTTGCCTTACACTGATGCAGTGATCCATGAAATCCAGAGACTGGCCAACATAGTGCCCATGAGTCTCCCTCACACCACTGCTTGTGATGTTCACTTTCAGGGATTCTTCATCAAGAAGGTCGGCCTATGATATTAAAAGAACCTAAAAATAAATACAATATAAAACATGGAGTACAATTTTCACAAGTCTTTTAGCAGTTTATAGAACTCACTTGCACCTGACAGTAACATGTGTCTTGGGTGATCCATTCATAAATGGAAAGGACTAAGTACAGCTGTGGAGGGACAATGAAGGACTGTCTTAATCAACTGCTTAACCTTTAGAACCCTAGAATTTTTGGGAGTTTTTTTGGTATTTTTGGTCAATTACAATTGCAAATATAAAGTATTTACATGTGACAGTCACACATGCCATATGTTGTTATTTTCAGATGACCCTGGGCTACTATGGCATTATTTGACATGTAAATGCCAACAGAAATTTGATATCTTAATGAATTTGGGTCATTTCTGATCAAAAACTTACCTAGCGCCTGCAAAATTTTGTCTTTTTTGCTTATAAAGATCTTGAAAACAAGTTGGACCTCAGATACGTTTTCAGAAATTGTTAGTCTGGAGTGTCTGTGAGCTGAAAGTGCAATAATTTTGATGGTGATTAATTCTATTGGTTATTATGAGCAAAAATAAACAATTAGCATGTAAGTGCTAAAACTTTGATACACAGCAAGATATGGCTTTATTTTTAATTACAAATTGAGTTGCAAATTTAATATCAGATACTTTTAATACTCAAAATCAATGTGAACTGAAAGACAGATCTAGATATAATTAATTGTATTTAATAATATTTGTCATATGTAATATAACAGTAGTGAGAGGGATTTGGGTCATTTTGGAGCTGCATTGCTGGCTGATGGATGGTCACAGGTGGTTGAAATCACTCTGGATGGTGAGGGCAGAGTCTGATGAGTGATCTAATGTGTGAGTCATGCCGCTGTTTTAACCCTTTGTTGGAATATGAAGGCCAAAAAGCAGAGCAATAATATCAGGATTTTAGGTGATTTTCCGAGCCAAATTACTCACTGATGTTGACGTCACAGCTCGAGGGTCTGCTGAATGTCCTGATATGTGGATCATGTTTGTACCTTAAACAGTTCTGAAGTTATGAAGGCTAGAAGTGACCAACTGTTTGGGTCCTCGGAACAGACATGAAAGAAGCTGCATAGCTTCTTTTTTCATCTCCTGTTATGTTTGCATATAATTTGGGTTAGCAGTGAGACACTGTGTGGTACCACTCCTTCAGTCACGAAATCCGATCACATGTATCACATGTTGTTATTCAAGACACTAAGAAATGCCAGGCTACTTGTCTTGCTGTGCACTTATGATCAGATCACCCAATACACATGTTAATACAAAGTCTAAGTGGGGCCAGTAATAAGCATTGAAACTGACTACTGTAAGTACCTGACAAGGCTACTATGTAGATAAATGTGTTATACGAACTGAAATGTGACAGGCTCTACTTCTTTGCAGGGTACATGTGTGTTCCCACTATTGACATCTGTGTTGAGGGATGAGAATGAGTGGGAGAGCCCCAACACCTTCAACCCAGCACACTTCCTTGATGAGCAGGGACGATTTGTCAAGAGAGATGCCTTCATGGCATTTTCTGCAGGTATATTAAATGCTTTACTCTGATGTATCTGTAGTTCAAATAAATCATACTGTGATTCTAACTCTATATTCTATTATTCAGGGCGCAGGGTGTGTTTGGGAGAGAGTCTGGCCAGGATGGAGCTCTTCCTGTTCTTCACTTCCCTCCTGCAACACTTCCGCTTCACTCCTCCACCAGGTGTGTCTGAGGATCAACTGGACCTCACACCAGCTGTGGGCCTCACACTGAACCCCTCCCCCCACAAGCTGTGTGCAATTAGCCGCAGTGCTTAAAGCAGGGCTGGTGAACTGTGGCTCTGGAGGGCTGGTGTCCAGCACAGTTTGATGATTTCCCTGGTCTTAACACACCTACTAAACCTGGCAGTTAGCTGCTGAGTTCAATCAAGTGTGTTTGAGGAAAACCAATAAACTGTGCAGTACTCCAGCCCTCCAAGACTGGAGTTCAGCACTCCTGGTGCAAAACAGATACTCCAGCCAAAATGTATTATGTAACCCTCACTACATGCAATGCGAACATTCCTAGAGCAGCAGAGCCAATCAGTATCTCAATTTCTGCTGGGGGGTGCTTTCAGACCTGCCTCGTTTGGTGCTGACCTGTCGAACTTTTGTTAATGTTAATTCATTACAGAATTCAACACCAAAGCATGGTTTTTCCATTGCACATTTTAAATGTACTGTCTGCACAGTCTGCTGCTTTAATATGTTACTCTTTATAAATGGTAATATTGTTCCTTCATTGCGAGCTGCTGTAAATAAGACAAGCAATAAAATAAGGATATGCGTTTGATTATGGACTGTGGAGCAATTAATTGGCCAAGCATCAGCAACCTGATCGGTTCAATTTAATTGGGATACACATTGATAATAAGCATCTCTATTTTCTGTTTACATGGTGGTGAATGTGAGAATAACAGAGCACTTGCATCCCTGCAAAACTTCTGATCAAAAAACAAACACCCATGTGTGTAATTTAGTCCACTTTAGCCCTTGCAGTCCACCAGCTAAACCACAGGAAAAAGACATAATTTCACAAAAAAGCAAACTGTGGTGCGGTCTTTGGAAAATTAACTGGATATGAAAACAGCCTGATGTTGTTCATAGATGTTGGCTCACAAATATCACTGTCTGAGGCTGCACCTACCGAAGCAGCATCAAAACAAACACAGACACTATTCATGATCAGGTTCAGAAGTAGGGAAAGGAGCCTAAAACAACAAGTTTTAAAGCAAAAGTAAAAGTGCCTTCCCCAAAACAACTTTAGTAGAAATACAAAAGAATCAAGGAAATCCACTTAAGTACTGAGCACTGTAGTGGAACTTCTTAGAACACCCAGCATTTATCAGTACAGAAGCTGAAGATTGCACAGCTCTGTTCTTCTCTTTTTGGGATATTTTTGGTCTAAAATATAAAGCTCTAAAGTCATTAATTACAAAGCAGTACAAATAGTGCCACCATCAAAAGAAATTGAAATTAATCACAAAAGAGGAATTAGTATCTAAATACAAATAGCAAAAATGTAAAGTCCTTTACTCACTAATATATTTTAGTAAAAGTATCATGATTTGAAAATAATCAGGAGAGTAAAAATTAATCAGTACTTTACAGTACTTGAGTAAATGTAACTAGTTACTACCCACCTAAATAGATTTATAAAGACTTGTCATTAGCATGACATGAAAGGCAATTTTAGTTATTGGCCTAGTTGCATTTTGTCACTCAGCCAGCTGAAACAATGTGCTTTGCCCCACCACTTTTGGAGGTGGGGCGCCACCCCTGCATGTGTTACAATGGCACCACAATGGTTTCTGAAGCACGATTTTTTAGTTTAAAGACTTCTTCAAAAGACATATCTTGAAGGTGAGGGGAACTCACTTTGAGACAGACACTTGAGGGTGGTCAGTTTGAATTTGTTTTTGAATTTGCCAATGGTGCTGCTAGGAAGGCAAATATTTGTTTCTTTTTATTAACTTCTACATCTATGCTATGCTAGAAATGAAGATTTTTTTAGCACTATGGGTGGTATTCCTTATTGGTTTTAAGGATACATGATTGTGAATTCTTTCAAAAAACAAAGAGGCTGATGGATGCAGTGCTGCCAACAAAGTATTATATAACATGATAAATAACATATTAAGTGCTAGGTTGGAATAAAGATGTGACTTCCTCCTCAAGATCAGGATAGACTGGTTAGAAGAAATCAGGTAAATTATTACTTCCTGGCAATAAATAATTGACTGTCCTACATGTGTAACTAAATAGTTTGTAGCCCCATTAGAAATTTGAATTTTAAAGCAAAAATCTGAATTGAAATGTTATTTTGAATCTGTATCATATCGTCTGAAATAAAAGTTTAAGGTTTGTAAAATAAAATCTAAACCTCAATTTTAAGTTTGATGTATATTTAAAGAATTAAATTTCTATTAATTCACATTTTCAGATTTGTTTTTAAAATATAGATGTCTTGCAGGCAAAAGCAGTCAAACACCAAATCTCTTCTGCGCTCTCCACCCCCTTGTCTTACCTTGTACTTATGTAACTGGTCGTATGATCAGAAACACCTACCATACAGTTGTTCTTGCAATTACTGACTATAGCCCATCTGTTGCTGCATTTTGTGGTTTTCAGTGCAAATTTTTAATTACATGAAACTCACCGTTTTACCATATGTACCATAATAATAAAGCTTCGGAGAAATATGGAACATATAGAGTAATATTAACAGTACTTATCAGTTTTTAATAGGAATGTAAGACTATATGATATTGTCACGTTTACACTGGGCAACCCCAAGGCTGCCCCTCAGGTCCCCATCTCCTGAGAGATAGTAGTCTCCTGTTGCCATGATTTCAACTGATCATTTTCACCTGTTTGCTGATCCAACCACAGTACTCCTCCTATAAGAACACTCACTTTGCAGTTCTCACTGCAATGAAAGCCTGAACCTGTTTGTTATGTGTGGATTCTCATTTGTTTTTTACCCATGTCTGTTTATACATAGTCTTTGCTTTGGGTTTTGAACTTTTCCCTGTTGAAATAACTTTGAATTTTGGACTGTTTTTTTGGACATATTTGTTAATAAATCTCTGCACATAAATTCCTGAAACTTAGAGAGAGAGAGTTGGAGGCGGGGTGTGTAACACAACACTAAACTTTAACTTTTTAAATGTCTCATGTGCCGGCAAGAAAGTTAGAGGTGTAGCTGTTCTATTTGATATTTGATCCAATGCAAGCATTTATCATTTGGTGATTTCACCTTTGAGTATTTTCATGTGGTTCTAAAAGGGGCACCAATAATATTACTAGTAATTTTCTACAGGCCTCCAAAATACAAAGCTAATTTCATTGATGAATCTACAGATAAGTTATCTTTTATTTTCAACAATTTTGATCATTTTGTTATTGCTGGTGATTTTAACATATATAATGACAATCCTATGACAATTATGCCAGTGAACTCCACAACCATATTGCCATATAGAACTCTTTTGGACTCACTGTCATGGTCACACTCTGGATGTGGTTATCTCAAAGGGTCTCAACATATCAGCCAATGTTAAGGATGTCACTTTGTCAGATAATTGCTGTGTTTTCTTTTAAATGTAGATCTCACTAAACATCAAGACCAGACATGTTTTCATTAAGAAAAGGTTTATAAATAACAGCATAACTACGCTTTTTGCGAACAAAATGTACTCTGCGCCATGCAAACCGTCTGATTTTGTTGATGCTTTGCTGGATAACTTCAACTCAAAAAGATAAAAAAAGACTCCAGATAAAGTTAAACCATGTCATGCCAACAGAAAGAGGAATGCTACTGCAGTTCAACTCCAAAAGAGAGGATGTAGGAAGGCTGAATGCAGAAGGCATGAAACCAGGCTTCAGATCCTCAAAGAAATTTTCAAAGAAGTAGAGGATTAATTAATTATATTAATTAAATCATTGAATATAGAGAAAAACAAACAGGCCTCTCATTGGACAGAACTATTTTTATTAACCAATGATAACTGAGAACTACTGTTAGAAGCCTATCAGAGTAACAAGAAATAGATCAATGAATATAAGTCACTGTTAACAGTAAAAACCAGAGACCACTATTAGGAGCATATCACAGTAAAAAAAAAAAACATGAGCGTAAATAACTTCACTTGAGGTAATGAGGGCATTAACTAGCTTTTCTGCATCTTGTAGAGACAGTGCATTTGTAAATTTTGGCAATATTGCAAAAATAAAGGAAAGCAATTCTAGTAATATTGTTTACATGAGCATTGAAGGGCAGATCTGGATCATGAAAACAAGGCTGTACCTGATGTAACTAATAAGTTATTAATATAGAGCATTAATTTGTTTATAGCAACTCTGGACCAAGAACAAGAACTTCTGCTTTGTCTGAGTTGAGTAGGAGGAAGTTACCTGGCATTCAGTCTTTTATGTGTTTTACACAGTCCTCAATCTTATTAAGTTGAAATTTATCATCTGGTTTGGCTGATACATGCAATTATGTTTCATCAGCACAGCAGTGGAAATTTATATCATGTTTACTGAGGACAGAACCCAGTGGTAGAATATATACTGAAAATAATAGAGGTCCTAAAACACAGTTTTGTGGAACACCATACTTTGCCTTTGCAAGAACGAATGATTTGCCGTTTACATTTATAAACTGACAACAATCAGTCAGGTTTAATCTTATTGAGGAAAGGGCTATTCCTACTCTCACAAGGTTTTCCAGCCTTTCCAGTAGGATAGAGGGGTCTATGGTATCAAACTGTGCGTTTAATATATTTTACCTAATGATTTAAATTTTGTTATGTAAGAAATCCATAAAAGCATTGCTGCTGTAGGCTGACTGTATCTGTCGTTCAGTAGCTGTTTAGTTCTTACTTAATTTAGAAATTGTTCTAAATAATAATCTATGATCATTCTTATTATTTTCAATCAGAGAGATAGGTTAAGCGTGCTGCAGTAAGTGCCCTTCTGTAGTCTATAAAGCTATTTATTGTGAGTAATATGTGAAAACTATTTAAAAATGTAAAAAAAAAAAAAACTCCTACAAGTGTTTTTGAAAAACTTTTCGCTTTTGTTTATCCATTTATTTATTTTTTGGTGTTGCCAAAAAGGTTGTATTAGCACGGATATTTGATACTCATCCAATGCTGGCACAAGGTCACCATTCAGTCTACCACTCAATGCCTATCATGATTGTACTACACTGGAAAACTGAAGTGTTCCCAGACAGAGATGAGAGTGAGTTCACTTCTTCCAGCTAGAGCTAATTTCAAACAGCTTGGCCAATCAACCATCCAAGGTAGACAAAGCTGATGCCATGGTACCTTTATTTATAACAGTGTATTTGAACGAGAACCTGCCTTCAGCTTTGCAACTTTTTAGTGTGGAACAGATTCTTCTTGCAGATTAAACATATCAGGACAATAACTAAGTGCTTATAAATGTAAATAAGTCTCCTAATGATTGATGTTGTCTCAAATCTTTCTCTTTGCCTTTTCATTAGCTACAAGCTAGGCTAGATTGTTGTCTGAATTGCTATGGTGATCAGCAGTCTGCACACCAATCTATAAGGTTAAAGGTTGGTGAATTAACAGTTCTACATACAACTCCGATGTTGAAGACTGTTTATTATTAAACCTGTGTTACAACAGAGCTTTAGCTTAATTTTACTGCAAAGAAGGATTGTTTTATTTTTTGCCTAAAAATCTAATTCTGGTGCCACAACAGGGCAGTAACAGAGCTGCATGTTGCTGACCCCTGACATAGACAAACAAAAGACAA